GGAGGTTAGGATTGCATTCATGAGGCACACATTGACAACAATCATCGTGTCCCATCACCTGATTGTTTGTCTTTTTGAGCAGCGTGCACAATGATATACGTATGTGTATGTGTGTGTATGTGTATGTGAGTGTGTGTGTGTGTGTGTATGTGTGTGTGTGTGTGTGTGTGTGTGTGTGTGTGTGTGTGAGTGTGAGTGTGAGTGTGTGTATGTGTGTGTGTTTTTTGTGTCTGTGTACGTTAAGCCCACCAGTAATTCTTCATGTACACATATCCTTTCCAACTCTGTGAAGCTTCTCGTTTCGTTAAGGCACCCCACTCACTTCCCTTTCAGCGACTAATAAAAAAAAGTAGCAAATTCAATCAGTCTTATCAGTTTTTTGCTGTGAATGTTCATCGTTATGGAGAGCAGATGTGATTGATTGCCATTAGGAAAAGGTTTATTTTTGTATAAATTGTGAATGTGCTCGCGGGTTTAAGATATGGTGAATGGGGGAGACAGCGACAGAAATGTATATATATATATACAAAGAGATAGAGAGATAGAGGTAGAGAGAGAGAGAGAAAAAAGAGAAAGATAGAGAGAGAAGGAGAGAGAGAGAGAGAGAGAGAGAGAGAGAGAGAGAGAGAGAGAGAGAGAGAAAGAGAGAGGGAGAGGGGGGGAGAAGGAGAGAAAACGAGAGAAAGAGAGAAAGAGAAATAAGGGGAGGGGAGGGGGAGGGGAGAAAAATCAACTTTTAAAGTAGAAGCTGTTCTTAAAATACTCAACGTAATTCTACTAGGATATATTTCACAAATATGTTATCAGGGTGCACATATAATAGAAAAACGTTTTGGTTTATTCGTGGATGAACTGAAAATATTGTGCGCCCCAATTTAGGTCATTTGTGTCGTTTAGCGGACGAGGTGCTCTGAGTTTGCCTGCCAGGGCCGACCCAGACAGAAAGAGAAACATGGTCCCTACAGACTGACCGAGCTCGTAACTGATTTGAAAAACACAAAATTAAGAGAAAAAAAACGAAAAAAAAACAACCCCAAAAACAACAATAACAAAAAGCAAAACAAAACCAAAAACAAAACAAAATAGACAAAACAACCCCCCC